GCTAATCCCTACCCTGAACGAGTCAGAGCCCTTGCGGGAGGCACGTTTCGTCTGGTCCCTCCTCTTTGGCCGGAAGGGGCGCTTTACAAGCCTCCCCAACCGCCCGCAGGATCACTGGGGCACGCGATCCCCCACCACGGAAAGGTGGTGCTTCACGGGGGGGGGAGATAGTGCTCACGCAATGACTTAGGTTCAAAGGGTTGGATGACCCACTCGAATGGTGCGACATCCGGATCTCACATTTGGAAAAGTCTTTCTAGTTAAGTCACAAGCCTCATCGTTGTGGAGTTTTGAGAATGAATCACGGTGGAAGTTGGGTCAGGGGCTTAAATGTCTGGCGTTGTTACAAAGAAAGGCTGTCTTGGGGTTGAGAAATTGTTCCGCGGGAACAGCCAAGCAGGATTTTGTCTCCAGGCTTTACGGAGTAACTTAGCAGGGTTTTGTCTCCAGGCTTTACGGAGTAACTTAGCAGGATTTTGCCTCCAGGCTTTACGGAGTAACTTAGCAGGATTTTGTCTCCAGGCTTTATGGAGTAACTTAGTAGTGTTTTGTCTTCAGGCTTTACGGAGTAGCTTACCAGTCCGGAAAGAGCGAAAACCAGCTTGTCACGGAGCGCTCATGCTCGCGGCTCAGGGTTGTGTGACCACTTCCTTGATCATTATCAGCGTTGAGTAACTTATGAATAATTCATGCCCAGATACAATCCAGTGCGGGTTGATCTCTGAACTTACCCTGGATGGTGCTGTGTCTTTTTTCAAATATGCAAAACTAATGGTGGCCAGCAGTGATTCACTGCGCGCGGAGCACAATGGTGGCTTCAGTTCACATTCCATCACCAATAAATCGGTTACACTCAGCAGGTTAAGGACGCGTGATTGCTGTGTTTATCAGCGGCCGTCGGTTCAATCTGCGGCTCAGAGGCGACGGGAGGCGGACGGCCTTGACTTTGTGAACGCTGGTCGGGGTTATATGTACTCCCCTTGAAGTGACCCAATCAACTCGTCTGCGAAGTCGCCAGTTTAGAATGGCTCATAGACACTTTCCATCCAAACGTTACCTGTTTGTTAGGCACGTCGTCTCGGAGTCATTTTCTGAGTGCAGTGCAGCCGGGATGCAGCACAGGAAACGCGCTTGAACAATACTTTTGGCCACGCCCTCGGCTGATGTACTTCTGGGTAGTGCCATCCGTTATTCTGAATCAAAACTTAATGGGGACTGATCGGCTTCATGCCAATTCCGCATTGTTGTGCATGCATGGAGCGCATGCTGTTAAGATAGCTGCATTGTTCACTAAGCAGACTATTGTCCGTTAAGAATTCCACGGCGACGACATCGACACCGACGGTTTCAGAAACTGCATTCGCGGCGTGTGGCACGTGGAGAAATGTACCGTAAATTCGAGTGATAAGATGGAGCGATTCGGAGATAGGTGAAAACCGTTTGTACCAACGACTCAGCAGCTTCAAATGTATCGCAGCTGTAACGTCAAATGTCATGTAATATGTTGCAATGAATGAGCATTATTGATGTATTTTGCATTGTTCTATTTGCACTGGAAGGGTGGCTGCGACAGACTGTGCAATGTGGTTTGGTTTGATTTTAGTTTTGTCTTTATGTGTATGAGCGCGTTGTGAATGGATACAATAAATGATGGAAAATGGCTATGCGCCGTTATGGGACGACTTGAGCAAAAAAGAGCATGTCGGCCGACGGGATATGTACATTACCGGCCGATGTTGCTACCAGAATGACATTGTGTACGCAAGGTGGCACTTCCCGGGCACAAAAGCAGATATCTAGAATTGGACGACCTATTTCTGCAACTCACTTCCATGAGGTCTTCAAGCATGAGTGATACACTCTCGAGAGGTTGACTGAATCAGATACCATCCTATTCTACCCTTATGACATCCTGTAGCATCCCTTGCTGCCCACCGCCGACAACTCTGTTCTAAGCCCCTGTCTCAGTCAATAGAAAACACGGTATCTCCGAGGGACCTGTTTATTTCAAGCCATTACTCTGCTGCTATTGGGTAACGAAAGCGGATCCACCAGCTGATTAAGAATTGAGTGCCCCGCGCCCCCGCTGCCACCTACCGGCACGATCGCCGCGACATCTACAGCCCGCATTTTAAACAGCGCGTCCGGCGGCAGTCGGCGGGCGCGGCACGTTGGACACACGGATGAAACACTGCGGGGCAAGACAGGGGTAACCGACCAGAAGCGGGCAGAAGCGGGGGTAACAGACCAGACCGGGTGCAGCGAAAAGAGTCAAAACAGGCGTCGGTGGCCTTCTGTTCGCCGTAAACAGCACGAACCACACAAGCGACGGGGCCGGCGGTCATCCTCAACACACGGAACCAAGGCGGGGTTGGCGTCGCCGCCGTCGACGCACGCGGAAATCGATGTCGATTTAACGCCACGCACCAAAATCGTCACCGAAACCGAGACAGGAGCCCACGAACAGTTCCCACATCCGGGCAGTGGTTCGGGGCCTCGCCACCAGGCGGCGGGCTGGGCCAGCGCGCGGACGGTGAAACGGAGGCGGACTTTCGGACGAGGCCTGAGGCTGCACCGCGCTATAGCGAAGCGTCTGGCTTCGGCCAGAGCCGAGAGGCGGGGCCGGGGACGGGAAGGGACCGGGTGGTGAGACCAGCGGTGCTGTCCGGCGCGACGGCCGAACACCTCAGCGCACTAGAACACTATTGTACACCGCAGGCACGCGTGCCACTGCATGGAGTTAATCACTATGGCTTAAACTAGAGGGGAAGCGCCGGCGACCGGTGGCAGACGCGGCGCTGCTGCCCTCTGACGGGCCCAGCGGGAACTGCGTCGGCCTCCGGTCGGCGGGTTTCGATGAATCGGCAAGCACCAAGCTGTTGGCGCCACACGAGAACCGGCCAATCAGGGGCGTCGGCGGTGTCACGTCACGCCACGACGGGCGGGGCCCCGGGGGGCGACGTGCACTCCGGGGGACCAGCTTCGCCTCCTGCGGGCCATCCGTCGTTAGCGTAGTGCATCCGATGATGGCCTTATCCTACCTCCTTTCGCGCCTCTGAACGGCAGTTCCGCGCGGCGGGCGAAACACAACACACCGGCCCCTGGTGGTGCCATTTACAACTACAGCTGCCGCCGCTCACCGCGACGCCGCAGCACCGTCGCCACCTGGCCGATGCAGAAAATATCACAGATATCTCGCCGTCACACAGGACGGCTTCCACGCGCCCCACCCCACCCACCTCGCTGGCACCGCTCCTAGGCTCCGCAGGGGCCCAGACCGTTCGCGAACCTTCCCCGGCAGCCGCCGCCACCATCGTTCCAATGCTATCACAAGTCTTCCCTGATCTGGCAGAGTGCCAATAATCACACCACACCGGGGCCGGCCGGCCGGACGACGCTTGCGTGTCGTCCGATCCGTGCCGCCCCCAGCCCGACCCCGCCGGCGCACCGGGGGGTCGCCTTCGCTGCGCACCGGTGACATCGTGCGACCTTCAAAACCGGGAGCCAGGACGCGCCTTCCAGCGGCAGCGCGATCGCACTTGGGGATGAGTCTCCCGAACGCCAACGCAATTGAAGCATGGAAATCAACGAGAGGATAGTCACGCGACGAAAGAGAGGGAAAAAAAGCCAGAACGCTCGCTGCGTGCCGCGACTGCGAGTCTGGCGTCTACAGACAGGTTGCTGGTGGGAAAAATGGAGACCCTATCCTGTGTGGAGCGGATAAGTCAGTTATCTGACTTGTACTAGCGCAGCCTGCAGCACGTTCGATCGAACACGACGCTCGCTGTGTACGCCACTAAGACCGAGACTCAGACTGAGCTCAGACTCAGACTCAGACCGGACTCAGACCCAGACTCAGGCCGAGCTCAGACTTAGACTCTAACCGAGCTCGGACCGACTTCAGACCCAGATTCAGACCGAGCTCAGGTCGAGGCTTAAACTGAGCTCAGACTCAGACTAAGTTCAGACTCAGACTAGACCGAGTCCAGGCGTTCCGTTAACAGAGGATCAGGGGTCCGTATCTGTACGGCTGGCCGGCGTAACGGTGGAAGGCGGGACGCCTTGGGCCATGCGACGGGATGATGCAGGTTTTGATACCAGGGTGGTAAGTCAGGAGCGAATTTAGACGCTTCAGACTGCGCGTGAATTCTGCAACGTTAAAAACGAGGCTGAAGGAAAACAAGCATGCTGGCCGCGCACTGAACGTCTAAAACGTACGGCAAAGTTTTGAGTGACAGGTGTTGCTAAGCAATGGAAAAGGTCTTTTGAACTGCGTCATGACGCAGTGTTGGAGCCCCGTTTAATCCCATTCAACTGCCCCCCCCCCCCGCCGAAGCGGATTGCGATGCAGTTTAATTTCTAGCATAACGTAGCGCGAAAAAAATTTCCAAATGGGGTATTGGAAATGGCACGCTGCACAAAATGCCTAGGGGTACGTTTAAAAGCGATGGAAAAGGAGCTGTAACGTTTTAAAATCCAGTTCCATGGGTACATGCAACACTTAAAAACCACAAAAAGCTGTTGTCAAGCACCGCGTACTTGACAACTTACAAAGTTCTACTCAGCTGACCGAAGTTAAATTTAAAATTAACATGCATGGGCGCAGTTTCATAAAAATTTCGTGAGGGATCAGACACGGCTGTCCATGACCATAAGTGCTTGCATGAAAACCACTTTTAGCGTGTTTGGAGGGGCTCGGTCGCCCGCTGAAGAGGCTCAACACAATCAGAAGGGGTGTCCCATCCAGGAGTCGCCAGTGCAAAACTAGCATCCCTGGATTTTCTCCCCTGGCGTGTGTGACGCTCTTATTGCTTCACATATTCAGCCCATAATAACTGATTTGGCCTTCCGCCGGACACCGGCCTGCCGTCCTTCCTCTCCCAGGTGAGCAGCTGTTCGGAGAAAGGCCCGCTGCAGCGGCATTGCCGCTCCCAGCCTAAAGGAATGCCGACCCAGTCCTACCCATGCAGTCACATTCCATAAGAAAGTCCGAAACGTCGCAGTACGACCCAGGATCAGCTTTCATGTGAAGGGCTTCCAAGGAAAGATGAAACTGATTCATAGCGCTTCAAATCATGCCCTGCTCCCACGCCGGCGACCGCTGGACTCACACCCAGAGCAACCTGCCGGTCATTTCAAAACTGCAAGTGCCAAATCGCACCCGCAGCTGGCGCTGTGAGCGCCGGATCCCCGCTTTGGAGCGTGTAATTTTGGACAGGGAAGGCGACCGCGCAGAAACACCGACAGAGGGACACCAAGCAGACCGAACCACCTAACGCCGCCTTTGCAGAGTTACGGACAACACAGGCAGAAAAAGAACACTTCACAGCCAACCGCCCTCCGCCCGCCAAACACCAGTCGCAGCAGCTGACAGGTCAAACGCCCACAGTCGCTGCCAGCCCCAGCCCCGGCTTTTGTACAAATAGGTTTTGTGATTGGGGACGGGGGTGTGGGTGGATTTGTACTTAGCAAACTGAAGTTCCTGGGCAAAAGTAAAATATCGGATCATCGGGAAGCAGTAATCTTCCTATTGGCTACGAAATAATGCAAAAGGTTTTCTCAATTATATGGAATGAGCCTGATAAACTGATATATGATGTAACTACTTACGTTGCGAAAGCGAAGCACTCTGTTAACATATGGGTCCTCTGACAAGACAGTGCCAGCCAACATCCGCAAACTAAAATTTCCCCTCAAAGCAATGTACTTTAACAATTTACCAGTGCCTCACCAACCACCACTGACAAAAGAGCCAGCGGCGGGGGTGCGAGCTGCGAGGGGGTGGGGCTGGGGCAGGTCAGCAGACGTCAAGAGCTCTCCATCGACCCCATCTGAGCCCGCGCAACGGCGCCTCACGGCCCACAGTACAGCCACGTCGAGCGACCCTGAGACAGGACAGTGAAACACGCTGGGAAGAACCGCCGCCGGCCGCCGCCAGCCGGGGGTGGCGCCATCTTCGCACCCGCAACACGCGAACGGGGCGAGCGTCATTAGAAAAGGAGCAAAGCATAGGAAGCCTGGACCTCAAGGAAACGTCTGACAGCGTGTGTGATTTTCGATCAAAACAAGCATGGGTGTAACCGCGATAACGGCTGTGGCTCGTGTCCCCCCCCCCCCTTCCCATTTTCTTCTTCGACACGATGGAATTTTTATCCTCCCATCTCTGTTTGTTGGATGAACGCCCTCGACGTTTTCAAACTGCAAATGTCATTTCATGGTCGGGAAGCCCCCTCAGATGCCAGTATGACAACCTAAATCCTAAACTGTTCTCCTCCCCAATCTAACTGACGCGGCTACACCCATGGAGGCAGTTAACACACACGCGCCAAAAACATGCTTGCGAAGATCTTGCAAAGTGGGTCTGCAAGGGAAATACGTAATGCTTCCATAAAATCATGGGACGAGTACCTGGACCTCCAGCGGCTTCTCAGCACGTGATAGTTAATGCTAGCGCCACCACCGACCGGCGGGACGCCTACTGTCAACCTTGCCAACCATCGGTGGACACCACTTACCCCGCCATACCCTGATTCCTTTCCTACGCCAAACACGCGTCATTCTATCACGTTTACGCTATGAAAACAAAACAAGAAAGACTAAAGGCTTGCGCTCTTTTCATCGTGGAAGCAGCTGCACGCGCGTCACCTAGCGGCACCTTCCAAAACTTCAGCTAGGGCCGACAGAGGGCAGTGCCGCACCCTCGCATATCACATTCGTTGGTTGCTCGCCGCGGCGGCGGGGCGCGGGGCGCACGGGCTGCGCACCTCCAGGCACTGGCGCCCCGAGCGCCCCGAGCGCCACCTATTGTCCCGTTGAACTGTCCTCGCTGGCCGGCAGAGCCATCTCCACCAGGCTGGGCGCGCTGGCTCCCAGGAATGGCGTCATCTCGAAGCGCCGCTCCTCCTGCTTGTGGATCTTGGTGTGCGTCTTCAGGATGGACGAGCGCGCGAACGTCTTCTTGCAGATGGGACACTCGAAGGGCCGTTCCCCGGTGTGGATGCGGCTGTGGTCCTTGAGGTGGTGACGGAACTTGAAGGCTTTCGAGCACCACTCGCAGCGGAACGGCCGGTCGCCCTGGTGCGCCGCGGCGTGGTCGCGTAGCAACGCTGGCGACTCGAATACGCGCGTGCACACCTTGCACGTGACGGGCGCGCTGTCGTCGGCCGGCGTCGGCGTCGACGGCGCCGAGCGGTCGCCGGAGGGGCTGGCCGTCGGCGAGCCGACGCCGGCGCCCTCCGTCGCCGACAGGTTGAGCGGGGCGCGGCCGTCGAACTCGCTGGCGGCGGGCAGGTGGCGGCTGCCGAGCAACGGCATCATGCCGAGCATGCCTCGGCCGGGCCCGAGCTCGGGCATGCCCACCAGCGGCGGCAGGAAGCGCAGCTCGGAGCGCAGCCCGCTCGGTAGGTAGGGCAGGCGCAGCGCTGGCTCGCCCGGCCGCTCCACCCAGAGCGCCCTCTCGCGGCCGTCGTGCGGCGGCCAGCTGTGCGAGTGCACGGCCGGCGTCAGCGCCGCCTCCTCGGGCCGGGCGCGCGCCGGCGCGCGCACCACCGTGGCACGCTCGCCGCCGCTCGGCTCCAGCGGCGCCTGGCCGGGCGGCGCGTGCTCCGCGCCGTGATGCGTCTGCAGCTGGTGCTGCGACTGGAAGCTGAGGCCGCACTCGGGACACAGGTAGGTGGTGGCGCCCACTCCGCCCTGCAGCGGAGAGAATGTCTTGTGTCAGAAGGCTGATTAATGTCAGTGGGACACAGACAGGCGGTGCCAAACAACACGTGCTACAACGGAGGAAACACTGGTCTCAGTGGTTTGGCAATCGAATTTGACAACACTCGAAAACCGCATGTGGTGAACCCCGCCACACCATGAAATAATGGATAAAGTGTGCATCGTGCGTGATTAGTTGGAGCTTACTTAATCTTCTTTGAGCTGTTTTACACGGCAACGGAATGGTGATGCAAAGTGTAGTTGTCCCTTCTGCCGCAATAAATGCAATGTGATCCATGACGGCGTTATATGTTGAACCATGAAGAAGCAAACTAAGAACATGAAGATGCCCGTCAGGCAGTACGTGCAGCTTCGGACGTCTTTGGAGGCGTCTTGGACTCCGCGTCTCGGCTCCCTTACTGTCATGACAGTAGAGAGACACTGAAAGCACTAGAGCCAAAGCTCTTAAGTTTCGTAGGAAATGTTATTCTCTCCAAACCAACTGCAAAGCTTCTCACATGAACGATGGCGCGCATGCCGAGGAGGCGAAAATCCGTCCCAGCGCTGGCGTCGTCAGAGGGTCGTGTAAACCTGTCCCAGCGCTGGCATCGGCAGAGGGTCGTGTAAACCTGTCCCAGCGCTGGCATCGGCAGAGGGTCGTGTAAGCGCCTGATGCCAATGTGTTATGACTGTGTAAAATGGACGGACAGGCTCGAAAAGGACTAATGGATAACTTCCAGGAAGCGGTTACGTCCTTGTCCTTGATCTCAGCTGTCTGCCACGCGTAAACGTCAAACTTGATGAGGAGGCACAGTTGGGTATTGTGAGGGCATCGATCAGCGCTGTGCTATAATACGGGAGAACTCGGAAATATTAACTGGAAAACAATGACATCGTTTCAAAATTGGTACTACACGGCATCACAGCCCTGAAACGTCGATACAAATATTTCAGTCTTTGCAAAACTCGAACCCTAAAACGAATTCCAACCCACCCTCCATAGGAACTGAATCGCCCACTGCTGTGAATCTCCAGCTCTAACTTGCATGCACTGTATGCGGTGGCAGAAAAGATCGCTGCAGTAGGCAAAGAACTCAGACACAAAGCGCTCCAACACCAGACAGACCTCCGGCAGTGGCATCCACTGTTCAAGCACGAGCGCGAATCTGACTGTTTACTTATTCTATTCTATTTATGCTTCCCGAATACACTCTCTACTTATATATATATATATATATATATATATATATATATATATATATATATACTTCCCGAATGCTACTCTAGAACACTACTCTTGGCCTATCAGCCAGTACCGTGATGTCACCCAGAACAAGTGATGCGAACACCATTACCTGGGCTATTTTAATTGCGTTGTTTGGTCCGCGATTTATAAGGATTTGATCCACCCCAAAGGCAAAATGGGCTCAAAAGGTGCAAACTGTACACTAGTACAAAACACTCTCTCCTAGTCATAAGCCAGATGTGTCACCTCCAACCAGGAGTTATGACTCAACGACTCACTCAGTGGAAGCCAAGGGCGCAAATGAGGAGGAATGGGAGAGGGAGCAGGGAGTAGGTTCCTTTTCCATTGGCTTCAGCTTCAGCCCTTCCCTTCAACTTTCAGAAGTGAAAGTGTGTAGATTAATTTTTGTTGGAGGGCTTTGGTCCTCCCCCAACTTTGAGAGGAAAGCTAACCAATCACGAGAGAACACCCCTCACACGCGTTTTTGAGCAGGCTAACATATTTTACTGCCCCCCCCCCCCCTTCCCCAACCTATTTCGCGACCTTCCACCCTGGGACGAGGGAGGGGTTGAGAATCCTAAATACGGACAACAAAATACGCCAGCAAGACTTCGCCGTTTTGGTATGCTGAACTTAATCAAAATTCGGGCGGATGAGGAACGGGGATGACTCGTTACCGATCGCGGCCAATCACTACCGATCCTACCGATCCTACCGATCCTACCGGTCCTACCGATCCTACCGATCCTACCGATCCTACCGATCCACCGATCCTACAACGGCTAGTCGCGCCGGGATATGGCAGACAGGCGGGACGTGGAGTGGACGTGTGTCATTGGAGAAACAGAGAGCAGATTGTGCCTGGGCACATGGACGCGTTATTCAGTACGCAGATAACTAATGTTGTCTAGCTATGCTGAGAGTGAGACGGGTGGCAAAGTCCTGTGCTGGGTCGCACGCTCTGGATTGGGCGTCTCGTGCTATCTTCCCATTGCAGCTTCCTGAGGCTAGTCCATGGCGCGTGTAGTCACTCAGACCGCGGGAAGCGGACGGGCATCAGCCATTCATCAGCGACAAAAACGGCCGACGCAACCAGCGCAAACAACCAGCGCAACAACCAGCGCAACAACCATGTGTGTGACGTCCATGTCGAGCCGGCCCTAAACCAGCGCTGTGCTGGGTGGAGTACGGTCTGAGCGACAACCGACAACCGTCAACTCGACCGTGACGTCACCGTCTGCCTTTCGCCGTCTATCGCCGCGAAAGATCGCGATTTCGTCTGTGACGGGCGGCCGCTGTTTTCCGTGCGGCCGCCGGCGCACACTCGCGCCACACCAGCCGACCGTGCACCCGGGCCTCAGTCGGTCAGCCAGACGGGCACAACCGACCGCTCCCCCCCCCCCCGCCCCCGTCACCGGGGCCGGGGTCGGCCAGCCAGACAGGCGCAACCGCCCCCCCCCCCGCCCCCCGTCAACGGGGCCGGAGCCGGTCAGCCAGACGGGCGCAACCGACCGCCCCTCCCCCCCGCCCCCCATCACCAGGACCGGAGCCGGTCAGCCAGACGAGCGCAACCGACCACCCCCCGTCATGAATCGGACCGTCTGACCCGGCCCGGGTGCACGTGTGCCCCGCCCCTGCCGCGCCCCACTTAAGGGGAAGGGCTCTTGCGCGGGTGCATCACAATCAATACCTGCGGACGATAAATCGGTCTGCGCGTGGTTGGGGCCGACGGATAATAGATGGCGCCACGGGTTCGGCGGTAGCTCGGCGGCGCCGGTATGTTTACATCGTCCGATGCCAAGAAGGCGTCAGCTGATCGTCCGAGTTCTAACGAAACCAGGCTAACCGACCGGCCGCTATCAGCTGACCAAATCGTCAGCGGGCTTCGCGGCGCCCTGCGCACAAACACAAATCCGTAGGACTCTCAAACACGCGGCACCACGTAGAAAAAAAACGTAGAACTCGAGGCCAATGTCGCGTTAAAGCCACCCATCACGCCCGACTTCCGCCCGGGCTCCGGAGGAATCAAAAGTTCAAGTTCGCAGGGCTGCATGCGTGATGAGGCTGTGCATCTCTTTGAGGCTTTGGCCAGCGAAGTGCTGCCTCGCCGTGTTTTTTCAACGTGATCGGGCCCTCCAGTACCAGCCCAGATAATCACAGTCCCTAAGAATACTGAAAGCCTCAAAAGTATGTTTCTTATGTGCTCATGACCCAAAGTATCAATGATTGAGCAAAGTTCGCCTACTGACTATGTATGCAGCTGCACTGCTTTTTGTCGCGCGGGAAACCAACAACGAATTTGCTTTATGACCAGCTGTCAAGGTCAATGAAAAGGTTAGCTGACGCACTCGGAGGCAGGCCTCTGGTGGACAGAAACGCGCCTCGCCGCGGGAGCCTCTCGCTGCGATTCTAGGAGGCTGTTCGTCGCCTGCCAGTCCCGAAAAACATGAATTAACCTTGCGTTACGTTGTCTCCCGTCCCATTCATGTCAAGTCACCGAAAGGACCGTGGCCCTGGGCCAACACAGTTGTACGCCACAGGTGGTCATGTCTGGTGAGGCAAGCGCCGCTCTCAGGGGCTGTGAAAGAGGATGAACTTTCGCGCATAGCAGCTGCAGCTCAACAGAAGACATGATTTGTGATTACCATGGATAAAAGAAAAACCGACCGCACATTTTGCACGATCTCAGCCCAGCGCGTTCAGCCTAGGTCCCGCAAATTATGGTTGTTATGCAGACCCTGTTTGGTATTCATTACTGAGTTGTGGCGAGAATCGTAGATAGAGCAAGAACAAGATGCTAATGTGGTTAGCTTCGGTCCAAGGCCGGCGACATTTCAAATTATTGAGGCTGAGCCAAGCCCCAGACGAGTTAGCCTTCCTAAAATGTGTGCTCGTCCAAAGAATTTAGCCCATTTTAGCTTGAAAACGGCCATAACGAATCCATATTTTCGCATCACGTATATAATGCCCTTTGTTCAAGCCGTATTGTAGCCAAGGCCCACTAGTTGCGTCCAAAGAAGATAAGGTTTGTGTGATATTTGATTTTTTCCTCCTTGTGATATTTTATTTTGAACAAAATATATTGGGTAATCTAAACTAACGGCGGGGAGCCCATCTAAACCAACGTCGGGGAGCCCATCTAAACCAACGTCGGGGAGCCCATCTCAACTAACGTCGGGGAGCCCATCTAAACTAACGTCGGGGAGCCCACCTCAACTAACGTCGGGGAGCCCATCTAAACTAACGTCGGGGAGCCCATCTCGACTAACGTCGGGGAGCCCATCTAAACTACCGTCGGGGAGCCCATCTAAACTAAGGTTGAGCACTAACAAAATCGACACACCAGGTCCTCAATGGCCTCCGATGCATCGACAAGAAAAATGCATGAAACCAAGCCACGGCCCTGTGTGCGCCGCAGCCGACGCACTGGACCCCGCGAATGAGGTGCATTTCAGGAAGAAGAGCTGCTGCGGCCGCATTCAAGATGGCCGCCGTTGCCCTGCCTGGGTATTACAGTAGCGGTGCACATTCACACGGCGCCTGCACGGCGCCAAGGCCGCGGCGCCATGGCAACCGCCTGCACGGCGCATGAGACGTGGTGCCGTACAGCGGCTCGGCCCGGCGCCGCCTGCTCGTGCCCGCCCTTGTATTGAGCGAAGGCGCAGTCAGCGTAGCCGAAGGAGGATGAGGTGGGGTGGCGGTAGGAAATGGCCTCTATCCAGTGCTCTGCTCATGCGATACCTAA